GGGTACACAGAACCAATGCGGAGCCTCGGTCAATCGCTGAAAGAATTGAGTATTGGTCCGAACTTCTGTATCCGGCAGCTGGCACAATGGATGTCGGCCTCCGACAAACCAGCTATGAACATACTCAACGTCATCGGCTCCAGATTTCAGACGTGCAAAGCACAGGCTACTCGGACTCCATCCCCCAACGCTCGAGCCATCCCGGAAGCCCAGGTGGCATTGCCGTCGACCTCACGACAAATGCGAGACCTCAAATTATCGCGGGCATAGTGAGCGTGCCGAGCTCAAAGAAGTTTCTAGAGAACCCTTGTGTGAGGCCCAACGAAAGTCGCTTGTCCGCGCGTCAAGAGTTTCACGTGGTGTCCCGTGAGAGTCCGAAGCGGAGAGAGCGGAGCGCGCAGCAGGCAGAAACGGCTATACTATCCCCGGTCCCCGTCTACCCAACCCAAGCTCCAAAATCCGCATGCAGGCGAACTTTTCCGCCACCGACACTGCGCCACCAGCACACATAGCCAAGGCGCAGAGGCAACGGGCTGAACCGCTTGGCTGTCCAGCACTGTACGAGATTGCCATGCTGAGCGACGAGGACGTTGCAGAAAAGGAAGACGAGCTTTGGTTCATACTCGTGCCGATGGTTGACCTTTGGAAGAGCGAAGCCGACACAGAATTCAAGCGCATCCTACAAAATAACGGCTTCGACTCTTCAGCAGTCGTGGGCATTTGCATCAGCGGTTCTAGCAACAGTAATATCAGCCTGCACAAGCTGTACGCGTACAGTGCGGTAACGCGCGACGAGACGCTCGTCCTAGCAGACGATACCTTGGATAGCATAAGAAGGTCTAGCGGCTGGATGACGTTTGATCGTGGACTGAGACCAGATGGTGCCGAATGGGGCATCGTCCAGGAGTTCCATCGTGGTAGTCGCGTACAGCAACGGATAGGTTCAACGCAGTACATGGGAATCATTGTGATAGGAAGATACTTGTCATTTCAGAAGACGAGGAAGTTTAGAAACGTCGACTGGATCTTGCCATATAACGATTTCGAGACCATGCTAGAGTTCATCATCAATACACCGTTGCGCCTGTAGTTGGAGCGCTTTGGCAGTTGTTCGGCCAATACCATATGTAGAGTCTCTCTGGTCGGGTTCATATGCTAATGTTCTCATCTTCAACCGTATTGCAACAGATTCGCCTTGAAAACAATGTCGATCGGGATGCTGTTTTGTGGTCTTTCATCTTGGCATCCAAATCCAGACGATTAGCGTATATACGATGCGATCGCAAATGCTCACCGATAACCAAGGCGTCGCATAATCTCCATCGTCTGTGTAACTTGCCCTTGTCCACTTACTGTACAGGCTGTGAGTGCCTAGGGGCATGTGGTCTTGGAGAACGTCTCGCTGCTCGTCACCGTCTTGGGCGCATAACATCACGCGCGCCTCGCGATACTGTTTCAGTCTTTGTACGAATAATTCATCGGTGTCACGCTCTGAGCTATTCCGGTCGTCGGACTCTATGCTTGCTAACAGTTGACGACTTCTGCCAGTGCATACAGTTCGCATCGTGGGCTGCCGATCGTGTCTTGCATAGTTCGACCCCACGCACGCCAACCACGCTTTCAACATAGCTGGACTCTCGTTCACCCACGTTAATAATGAAGCAGGTTGTTTTAGTTTCAGGACATTTCGCCACAAAAAGCTCTGGCAAGCCTCGACTATGCCGCTGTCGGCCGTCAAAATATCAAGTGTCCTGTCCGTCAACACAGCCGGGGCAATCGGCAGTCCGAATGGGCCGCGAATCTCTCTGGATTCAACGGGGCGTGGTGTGCATGATACAATCAAGAAGGCACCGTAACGAGCTCCGTCTTTCTCGGAAGTATAACGACGAACCCATGCCACGCGGATTGGCGTGCCATCAACCTTGAAGTAGTACGACTCGCCCGCTCTGATGGGTTGCGAAAGGTTGATCTCAAGGACGACAAGCACCTTTTCCGATGATATGGGCACCCTCAAGATCTCTACGGCGTCGCCCTCCAAAGCTGAAGCTTGCCTTCCCAGTCTCATCATAGACGGCACAATAGATCCAATGGAGACCACCGCGATCATTACCCAGGAAACGCGTGATGCAACATGAACCGCTATCAGAAGACATGCGATGGCGCTCAGGATGCAATGAAAACTCGTCCAAGGCATGGAATCTGTATCGACCGGCCGTCGGACGGAACCATGCACTACTCTGGCGGCTTTTCTTCGCGGCCCAGCATTAAATAGACACACCACAACGAAGAGAAGAACTCCTGCCCAGTAGGAGTTAACGTTAGTAAACGATTCTTAATGCGAAGCTTGCCAATTTACCGGAAACTCCGTCGTCCACGGGCCCAAAGTGCTGTCTCTGCTATATCAGCGGTGACTGTCTTTGAGTCCTGCATGACGCAAACGACTCCCACTTGCGTCTACATTACCTCGTGTTTTGGATGCAGCAATGAGTGAGGCTATCACATGAGCAGCCGTGTCCAGAGTGACGAGCCATCCGAGTATATGCCCAGTACAATTGCTCTCTGCACTGTCGCATAACGCAGGATACCGCCAAGTTCTCAGGCATAGCGAGAAGGCACGACGGTAGCAAGTTGAGAAACGCCACTCTGCCTCCCTGTGATGCAACCGTCTGTGCAGAAAGGCGTTGATGTGACCATGGGTATATGACGACGGCTACGTTCTCAAAAGAAACGATGAGTGCTATGGCCGCAGGCAGCACTCTTGGAGGATTGAAGCCGTTGTAATTGACATCATCTTGTGACAATCTACCTGTGACGGGTGAGGGGTTTGCTCAAAAGCTTCAGTCTCGAGTCTTCGATTGAGGCGAGAAACTGTCCATCAAAGGTGAACGCGTTCTCAAGCACGCGCGTGAAAGTGTAAAGAGCGGGTCGTCAGACACCAAAAAAGCACATCCCAAGTGCGCGTAATGATGTAGGTCGTCTCGACATCTATAGGTTGGTAAATATCCTGCAGAGCGAGCGGGCGTTTACTTATTTGTGCATTTAGAGTTGAAAATCGACCGGTCAGTGTTTCGTCGTGGGCAAGTCAATGGTGTTGATTTCTATAATGTTAAAGGTATCATGAGATACCTATTTTCAATATTGTCTCAGAACCCGTCCGTGACCGTATATATTAATGATTCGCCGATTCCTTATCATCTTTGCTCACCCAAGTCACCATATGGTTCATCGTACTCAGTTGACCAATAATCAAGGTGAGAGAAAGCCCTAGAATTGCGCCTCGTGCTTGTATCATCTGTGATGGCATGACCCATTGGCAATAGCACCAACTGACAACTACAGCGTCGAATGACGTCTAAATGATCCAAGTGCCCGCCATTCATGACATCTGTCAAAGTGTATGGGCCAATCACAGTCTGATGTCCGATGCAATAAGAGAATCTGCGGCGATCTCGAGAAAGCCAGCTTCGTGCATTTCGAGCATGCCAAGCTTGACGATAGCGTTGACAGCTGCCTTTGCAGGCTGCACAAGTCACAAACTGCCATTATAGTGTTCAGGTGGCGACGCCAACTCTCCCAATTGAGCGACGAGGTCCGCAATGCGCAGTAAAGAAGGGACATGCTTCAACATAAGATCCTTGGCAAACAGTATCTTTGGTTGGAGCAGCGACAGAAAAGCGATAAGTCGAGGCTGCAGCGTAGAAGACAGTTCAGCCTATCCTCCAGGAGAATCGCGGGATACCGACAAAGGCGGCTACTTCAGAGTCGTTTGCGAACACTCAGTAAAACGTCAAATCAGTCGGTACGTAAGTCTTCACGAAAGCGACGAAAGTGGGGGTCGGCTGAGTTAATACAACGAACATGAGTAAAAGAAGTATAACGATTCTCTAGTAAACTATATGTTCTTCGCAATCGTGTGTCATGGTCTTACATTCTCTCGTCGAGGAAGCTTTCTTCATTCTAAACTTCTTACAGAATTACGCCAAGTGGGACAGCATCATCCTCTCGTTTCTGCCATCTACAGCATCACTTAATCTGCACGTGGCGTAATGTTGTTTGTCGGCCGAAGTGTACATTATCTCTGGTTCCTCTAGTCAGCGCCGCGATTATCTAACCAGAGTCTGCTTTTGTGACCGTGTCAGTGGCTTGATGGTGGCATGCCATGCTTTCATGTTATATTTGCGACGAACAGCAAGGATTTCCTTCGCAGGGGTGAGCGGGAAGAGTTAGTTGGAGGCTGTCACGTCGTGGTAGAGAGATGAGGTTCGCCTTAAGTGAGGCGAAGTGCTGCTCTTCCGCAGGTTTTATGGCCAACGTCGTAGTTAGCATGATGTGGACTCTTTCGGGCGATGCCAAGGTCTTTCAGAAGCAAATAAATAAAAAGAAGATGACATAACGCTGTCTAAGCCTCGTACTGCCTTGATCACTGTTGTAGTGCAGGCGAAGTGGAGACCGTTAACTCCCAAGGTATGCTGCGCTCGGAACGTGATGCCTATCCTAATTTATGAGCAGTGCTATTAGAAACGCAGCATTCAGAACGCAGTTTTTCCACTTGCTCTAGACTAGCATGGACATCGGTAGAAGGATCTACTGTACAATGCATCCCATTAAACATAAAAGTCTAGGCACAAGAAGGATATGAGCCACTTACCGCATTCCAGCAGTCTTTTATCCGCGCAGGATGACACGCCTTCCCATTGAAATAATCATGGCAATCGCCAGGCTATGTATCGTTGGAACGATCGTCAAGCTCATGCGATGCGATCGATCGACAGTTGCACGCCATCTGCGAGCCGATTCTCTAGCGCAGCAAATCTACTATTAGGTGGGCTGTGTTGACTTCTACAGATGAGAAGGCATCGTTACAGGTTCTTATACGCTGCAAACAGCGCAATCTCAACATCTCCATAGTTCGATTTCACAATTTTCCCGTCAGCAGCTTGTTGCGTCAGGATCGTTCCTACGACAGATTATGGGACTATAACGACAAACACGTCACTGCCATGACTCCATTTCAATGCCCTGTTCTGGAAGGACTCGATAGCATCGTTTGCTGTTTTCTGGAAAACGGATTCCAGAAGGATCGTCTCCTTGATCTGTGTATCTGGAGATGTCTACTTTTCCTTGACAGGCAAACCGACGAGCCCGGACATAAAGCCTACGAAAACAACTACTCCTTAGGCTGCGAGCACATTACGGCTGCTACTGGGCTTTTGATGGTCATGGTGCGCCTCTTGGCTTCCGGCCACAGCATCAACTGCAATGATCTCAACGGTAGAACGCCAGTCGATTATACCGAAAATTATGGCATTGCTTTGAGTAATACGATTTAGTATCTGCGCTGGCTGACGTGGGTGGAAAAAGAGCAAGATACCGTTGACGTCCTTTAGAGCTACCATTCCATCCGCCTCCAGTTGTCCTAAGAAGTCCAGTAAATCGCCGGCGGCGACGATGGCTTTTTCTGCCGACACCTAATAGTGGGGCGCAGTGCAAGTTCTCTCCAATTTCAAGTTGTCCGTGTTGTACCGTGCCATTTGTGCGGTTTCGAAGGACTCTGACCCCATTCCCATTGGCGCCGTTCCCCGGCATCAGCCTCTTCCGTACACATGATCCCCTGATTGTCATGTCTGAGATCACTGCGTTCCTTCAGAGGCTTTTCGATCGGTGTCTTGTGGACAATGCCAGAAATCTGGAGTCTCGATCATCAAGTCGACCTGTTCCGTTGATCCAGAAAGGGCTTGACGCAGGCGTTAATACGCCAGCATACGTACGCGCACAGTTGAGATAATAGGCTGCTGTTGACTGTCCTGAACGGGCTGAATAGCTACTCAGCCATATTCGCCTATGCCAGAATGCTTGAGCAGCGATGGGTCGATGACTTGCTCCTCGATTAGAAGGGGGTTTTGGTGTTCAAGAAGGGCGTCTCTAGTCAAGCTCAGACCCGTAATGTCAAAGTCTTCGTATATTTCCCTGGTGTAGAAGACTTCTATATGCTGGCTAACATAGGAAGCCCTGTGAATGAGCTGCAAAATGATAGGAACGTTGTGGTAGATCAACTGGCCTTATCGGCCGGCCACTGCGCAGGTGATCCGTCCCCCCGAAAAGGAGACCAGAGATTGGTCATCGAGCTATAAATCGTCCATCGCACTTGGACGCTGCTGCTAGCATTTAACCACGCCGATTTAAGGATAGCGACCAAGTTATACGCGCGCCGTACAACCGCAATAACGATGCCGACTACGCCGCTTGATGAATCGGCCTTGCTGGAACACTGGCTGTTCCCTGATCGGCCCTCTCGTGTTGGAACTCAGTGTGCGACATGGTGGGTAACGCCATGCTCGTTGGTTATGTCTTGGGTATGGACAGCGCTCTCACGAACCACGGCGTCGGGAATCGGGTGCGAGGGGAGCAAGCAAGCAGGTGGCGGGCGAGTCGTGTTGCTGTTCAAACGGAAAACATTGTGAGCACTGATAGCCAGACGTGACCAAGGAACGGCCGGCGTGGTGGCAAGTCTTGAACCAATAATGCCAGCGTGAGAAGTATTGTGAGCGTTGCAACTGTCCATGTTGTCGGCTGAGCCTCTCACCTAACGCCGGCCATTTGCGCGGCGCGCATCGAAGAAGACGCAGCATGCGTCTGTCTTTCGAACCATCAGAAGCATGCGTCCCAAGAACCCATGTCGCACTGCTGAACCAAGCGAAGACATGGTCTGGACGATCGCAGATTGCCACGGATTCTCGAATCGAGAGCAGACGGTGGAACCGGTGGAGAGCGGTGGAGATGCTGTTATGTTGTGTGATCGCTTGGCCAGGAGACCAACGGCCGCGGGCGCTGAGTGGTAATTAGGGCTGCGGCGGTCATTGCGAGACGGTCAACCCGGGATTCGGACGACAGACGCATGCCCGAGGATGCCGGTTCCGGCCGCTTGGCTGCTGGACTCTTCAATTCTCGTCGATGCCCCAGAGCGATTGCTGAGAGTTTAATCGATCGACTTTCGCGCCCCCACTAGTTTGCTCATTACTGTGAGAGATCAGCCTCCGTTGGTGGATGAATTGACCGATGGGGGCCCGACTTCTTCTTTGCTTGTGCTAGGAAATTACTGCTGTTGATAGCAGCGGCTGTAGGGTGACATCGCTCCTGTGGGGCGATATTAATGCGGTCGCTCTGAGCTAGCCGCACGTTAGCCATGGATGAATGGGTATGTAAACTCGTCTTGTTGGTGCGGGGACGAGATGGCTGCCATCTCGGAACTCCCACACCAGTCCCATCGCAGCGCTGGGCTTAGTGAATAAGATCTTGCGGTCACGGCAGGGGGGCGCCACAAGGCTTAGAACGCACGTACGGCGGGGAGACGCATGGAGAAACTTCTCGGTCTTCCCGACGCTCAACACAAGATCAACTCGCAACTGGTCGCATCATGAGCAAGCCGATCCTCCGTCGTGGGCCATGCGATGCGGCGAAGCGAAGAGGCTCTAATTAGGGCTATGCATCGCGTACTTTTGGGACGATGTGGGTGTGGTCGGCTCGATGCGCCTGTCTCGGATCATAGAATGCGGGGTTAAAGGAACTGCCGAAAGGTTGCTACTGACGGCAGACCATCTGGGGCTAGCTTCTGGTCACTAACTTGGCCCTGCTTTTCCACAGTAATATACCAATAGCCCATAAGCACAAAGATCAAGTTCCCACTCCCATTCACCAAGACAGTAAATACCTCTAACTTGCCTAAATCATCTGCTTACTTCAACGTCATCGCACTAGAACCGAAAGCTTGCTCTCTGGTGCTGGACGGAGAGATGGAGGGTTCCTTGAGGTCTTGACCGCCAGCGTAGATCTTGACCTAGGTCACCTTGAGGTCCTGCGACCTCGCCAAGTACGGCAGGCGACTCTTGAGCCCACGCATCTGCGCAACGGCTCGCTCAGACTGCGAAGACAACAGCATGTGCCAAGCGTCGGGCGCGTCGTTTCTCATATCAAACAATGCCGTCTGCGTGTTCTTGGCCGCGTCCTTGATGGACGTGTCCAGGCTCTGCTCCACCGCCGAGCGAAGCTCGTCTCTACCGTTCTTTGCCATGTAGCGGAGATGGATGCTCACGTCGCTGATGGTCTTGTAGTCGAACTGCGTGTATGTCTCGGGCAGCCTGAGATCCCACTTGCTGATGGCTCCGGCGCCTTCAAAAGGCTGGTACTCCTCGCCGTCGAAATTCAACTTAAACACACCTGCGTCTAGTTGCCCTGTACTCAAAGCCACTGATGAGACCGGCAGTTTGACGGTCTGGCTTGTTCGACGAAAACCTCTCCCCGTAGCCCCCCGTGCAGCCTGGGTCGTAGTGATAACGGTGGTTGATCAGACTCGCGTTGCAGCTGATGTTTGGATATGGTCCGGCAACGCCGTAGAGCGAGAAGGCCACGGACTGTATATGTCGGAAGTACTGACCGGGGCAGTCCAGATTAAATAAAATCTCGGAAAAGCTGAAGGTTGTCTTCCACACCTCACGCAGGGAGAGCATGAATTCGGCGTTGAGGTGACGGAGGGAGATGTTCTTGGTCATCTCGAAGTCGTGCCGCAGGGTGTTCATGTAAGACAATTCCATCTGCTTCAGAGCCAGCCAGAGTGGTTTTCCCGCCTGCAGGCCGCCGCGCGACTCGTTACAGTACCCAGTCGAAGAGATCATGGAGGGGGATGACGTGCTGGATCCCGCGGACGATGCGGATGTGCACGACACTGGCCGTCGAACTGATAGACTGTCTCCAGCTTGCGAGCCAGTGTCATCGCCGCAAGGTACGTTTGGCAGTAGATGAAACGACTGGAGGGCCCCAGCCAGCCGTAGAGCTCTTTATTGGTGAACTTGAAATGGAGGAACTGCTGGGTCTCGGAAGCCGCCTCCACCACCTTCTGCTGCGCGCGCATGTCAACCTCAATGGTCTTGATTCGCTCCCGCTGCACCTCCATCTGCTTGTCAATGTTCTTTACCTCCAGCCCGGTGAGGTTCAGATGTAGCCGGCGATCCTGCAGCTGCCGAGTCCATTGTTCAATCATGTTCGCACGCTGGGCGTTATCCCTCGACCTCTGGGCTTTGCCGCGGAGAAGACCGGCAGAGATCTAGAAGCCAGCTGCTGGGCCCGAGAGCTGCTCGGACACGCCGACGTCCATTGGCTCCATGTTGATCGAGGGCATGGGGATGATAGATAGAATACTGGCCATCATGTCCAGGTCGCAGGCGAGGTCGTTGAGCATGGACGCTGTGTCTGCTGATCGCAGCTCGAGAAGCTCGTTGGCCGTCAGACGTAGATCCGAATCCGTCGGCTTGACAATGTTCTGCCCGATCTCGAAAAAGTCCTCGTCCTCCTTGGGAAGCTTGGCATCTTCCCCTGAGAGGTTTGAGTAGTACTTCAATCGGTGTGCCGCGGCGCGACGAGCCATTCCAAGCTGCTCCAACCCTCTCTCGGCCTCTATCTTGTGAGAGACCTTCATCTCCGTCATGATGCGTTGCAACCTGGCATCCTGCTTGCTCGAAGCAGCTGCAGTGCTTCGCCATCCTTCTTCTCCATGGCCGAGAGCAGCGACCCGGCCGTTCGCCTCAGCTTCTCGCACAGTTCAAACGTTTTATGCAGAAGATACGCGAACCGCTGTCGAGGAAGTACCTGGCCGAGCCCCGAAACGAGCAACAACAAGCTGTCGCTCTGCTGTAGCAGGTTGCCGAAGCTCCCTACACCGGCCGCCGCGTTCACGAGGCCGCCGACATCGAGAGGCGGACCCCACAGACTCAGACGCCGGATGCTGCCGTTGATGTCGAGCGAGTGGCGGATCTTGAACAGCCGGTCGTCAATCAGAGAGCGCAGCTTACCAAACTCCGGGTTCGCCTGCACCCCAAAGTACGGCGTGGGCGGGAAGAATCCAGAGTTGAGCTGATTGCCGCTGCCATCGCTGCCGTTGCTGCTGCTACTGTTGTTATTACCTCTGTGAGACATGGGGACGTAATAGGGGCTGGCGATCTGGAGCTGGACAGAAGCGTGGCAAAAGTCATCAATGGAAGAGGCAACTTCATTGTAGCTGTTGAACTGCTGTTTCCCACTCTTGACGTCTGGCACCGTCTGCGGCGCCGGCCCGAAGATGTGTGAGGCTCCCGTGTGGCGCTGGATGGCCATGAGAAGCATCTCGAGCGAGTTCTGGCGGAAGAAGACGTCGCCGACCGCCACGAGGGCTTGAATGTACTTGATGAGGAAGCGCTTCATGTACGCTAGCGGTCTGTCACGGGCAATAGTGTGAGGCTCAAATGGGAATTTGCGCCAGTCCAGCACGTTCGGCGCCATCGTCCGGTCCGATCCGGTGGTAGGCCCGAGAGAGTCTAGGATGGCATCGATGGTGCCGTGCTTGAGTGTGGCCGGATGTCGAAAGGGAGGGAAATCGCCAGGTCGGTCTCTAAGTAGAAGTGGAAGCATTTGCGCTGCTGCTGTCCGTGATTTTTGGGGGAGGAGGATTGTTGTCGGAGCCGGTGGGATCAAACATTAGCCTGGCATACCGCAAGGCCAGGTCATACTGCTGCAGGCTCATGAACCACTCGACAAGCAGGGCGACGACGTGGAAGCCAGTCTTCCAGTTCTAGATGGAGTGCAGCATGGCGTCTTCCCGGCACTGCGCGAGGCCCTAGAACTTGCCAAAGGCCGCCCCAAAGCCGACTTGGGTGCGCGTAGAGCTTTTGCCGTTGCTGAGCTGCGGCAGGCCCTCCTCGATGGTTGCGCCGTCCATGACGGCGAAGGCGCCTCCGGCAACGGTGTCGGCCGAGAGAGCCTCTCGAAAGTCTTCCCCACGAATGTTGAATAACGGCATCGTGGAACCGGCATCAGCAGCCTCCTCTGCCTCTCGTGCCGTTGCATCCTGCGACGGTGCAGTGGTATCTGCCTCTGGCAGAGTGAACCACGGCTCAGGCCACAGGCCCTTGGACACCTCCACGTCAGCCACGAGACCGAGATGCTTGCTGTTGGGCATGTTAGAGCTACTATAGAGGGTCCAGATCACGAATTCGGTCTTGATATTCGACCCAAGCGTCGGCGCGGACAAGGTCGGCCAGGTGTTGGGAGCTCCTGGGTTCGTCCCGGCCGGATCGGAGGCGTAGCCGGCCATTGTCTTCTGTGAGACGGCATCGGACGAGCTGGCAGTAACCATGCCGAACTCTATAGACGCAAGCTTTTTGCCACTTCCAAACGGAGACACCGCTACCATGGTGGCGTAGTCCCTGAACGACAGCGTCGGCCCCTGCAGCGTGAAGTCGCCCAGACAGGTATTGGCGCTGTTCGGCCGCCCTTGGAGCCGATTCGGAAGACGATGACGGAGAGCATCTCTCGAGATACGTCTGTGCTTGCAACCAAGCGTGTCCAGTCGAAATCGGGGACGCGACTCGTTCCGTCGCCCACTGTAAGCGTAGCCTGACTTTCCTTGGGCGAGGACCAGACGTCATCGACGAGCTCCGACCAGCCCATCTTGATGTCGAGGAAGATTTTCGCATTTGATTTGCCGACGTTGAACGTGGTGCTCTTCTTCTCGGTTGTTGTCGTGATCGTGGCGGCGGACGAGGCCGGATCGGTCCATGGCCTTCTCGACTCGGATGGCCAGCCTGGGCAGGAACAAGAGAAGCCAGTCCTTCAAGGTGACGGGAACCACGTAGCTCCTTGACCAGCGCAGAGGCTTGCCCATGCTTTCGATGCTATGAGAGTGGATATCCAACGGAATCTTGGCCTATGGCGTCCACGAGGGACTAGGCACCGTGTTGCCGTGCGCCAGGTACGTCAGTCGGCGATGGTGAAAGACGTACGGACAGCTTCTCATCCGTGCGATGAAGTGGAAGATACCCTCAGCCATCTTCTCGCGCAGGAGCCGGCGCTCCGGGGTGTCGTCCGGCGACGCCGGCGGCATCTCCCAGTGGAAGGACTTAATGCGCATATTCCCGATCTCGTCGGCCCCCTTGATGTAGCTCCGGATCACGGCCCTGGCCGTCTCATCGCTCGGCTCTGCTGTATTATCTTTTCCTCCACCACTGAGCGGAAGAGATCCGTCTTGGAGTCGCGCAGGGTCTGGTCAATCTACGTCTCAGGGTACAGGAACGTCGATCGGTTGGCCGCCCAGAAGGTGTATTTCTGCATCTAAGACCATCTGTCCTGTGGGATTGCATGAGTGGCGAGCATGACCGCCGGTGCAGACGCCATGTGCCCAAAGAGGGACGTAGCAGGCGTTGAATAATACACAAAAAAAAAAAGAGTCGTCCGTCGATGCCCTCTTCCCGGCCGAAGAGAGCGTGAGACATGAAGAGTTGGACTGTCGAAATGGCCTGCTTGATGCGTGTTATCTCGAGGCCGGAGCCCATCTCCACATCGATGAGGAATTGTTCAAACAGTCCACCCTCGTCTACGATTCCGAGGCTGCGCATGGCCGGATGTTGAATGAGATACTGCACCCGAGCCTTTTGACGGCCATCTCGCAACGCATTTTGTGCATCTTCGAACGCCTGCTTGGCTCCACAATCGACAAGCGCGGCCCTCAACTGCAAGATCAGCTGGGTAGTAGATTACGGGCCAGTCTTTCGTCCGTCAGCCCCAGTACTCCTGTCGAACGGCGATGTCGGACGTGCATCATCAAAGAGAAGAGCCACAGTGGCTTTTTTAAGGCCAAGCGCCGTGAACAGTCGGATTTGTGAAACCACTACAGCGTCTCGAGTCGCCCAGAACCAGGCTGTGACTCGGGAACCACCGATATGCTGGCACCTTCGGCTCCCATATTCACCTTAAGCAGTATCGCGAGCAGCTCAGCACGGGATTTGGCACTGGAGACCATCCGAATGGCAGCATCATGGATGGAGTTGACGATCTCTCCGTGGGCCATCGAGGCTGAGCACCACCACTGGAAAAACCTAGCAGAGTGTGCTTCGTAGCCAGTATTTGCTAGAGTTCTGCGAGAAAACATGTATGTATCTTTGCATTGCTGGGACTGTCGCCCAGCCCGAATGACTAGTCGCAACACTCCGGACGGCAGTAGTCCTCATGACTGGTAGCAAGATCTGAGCTTCTTCCACCTTGATGGGATACCGCTTGAGCAGAATGTGCTCCAACTGGAGCTAGTCGATAATTCTGTGCGCCGAAGCCACGTCCTTCTTACTGATAATAGCCACAGCAGGCTGGGAGTTGCTGTCGTTTGGCGAGTCCGTTCCAGCGGCTCTCACTATAACGTTGAGGCCAAACAGCGCCGCGGGCCGTTCCGTGAACACCACCAGGTTCTTTGGCGCGGTGACCTCGCATTCGAACCTCGCAACGGTGCCATCACCCGTTGCTTGCTTCGGAACCAGCTCCAAGGCTGTTGCTGGGGAGCCCCTGAGCTCCAGGGATATCGGCAGGTCGCCGGTGATGGATATTTCCACATGGATGGTGACAACTTCAGAGAAGACGAGCATCGAACCTCGGAGCTCTTTTTGCGAACAGAGACTCTGGTTGATCAACGTGCGATTATGCACAATTTCGGCGAGAGTATTGCTCCAGCTCGTGGTGGGCGACAACGAAGAAAACGAAGACGGAGACAACAAAGACGATCTGTTGTCTTTCATTTCTAGCAAAGGTTTGCAAAATTGCCAGAGGGAGGCTTGAAAGAGCTTCTTGGAGAGAAGTCTGTACGCTCTGCAGGATGCACCGTCTTCGTTTCTCTTGAACCAGATCCTGGCCTTCGCTTTTGCCTTTATTGGAATCTCTGTTCTTAGGAGACTCAACCGAGAGAGCGGCATTCAGATTACTTAGTCGATCTTCCACCTTGCTCAGATACTTTATGACCGTCTCCGTCAGGGCCGACGGCCATTGGTTTAAATTCTGCAGGTCGTTAGAGTCCAGGCATCCTGCCACATCAGACAGGCTTGTGGCATCCCATCCATCGGCCTGCAGCGTCTTCTAAGACTAGAGCGTCTTCAACCACGTCTCCGGAGTGGAAAGAGGTGTGAATTCGGTGCTCAGTGTCGCCAAAAGACTCGAGAGATCTGAATAGGGCATGCTAGCCATGGTCGCCGCGGCCATATCCCGGTTTTACACCCAGAGCGTGTCAGGACTGAGATTGTCACTGAGCCCTTCGTCGTCTTAGATCCGGACAAAGTCGTCGTGGGACATGCCCACCGTTGCCGTAACAGGGGCAAACAGTTGGACGCAGCTACAGCGGTGGCGCCCTGTCTCAAGGCACGGCTGACGACTTGTCTACGGAGGTGACATGGGGTGGCAGAGAAGAGTGCCACGGCATTTGGCGGTTTTGTCGTACACAGGTCCGTATTCCTCCGCACTGCTACCAGACTCTTGATGGTACTGGGAGTGATCACCAAGCCTCCCTGGGGAGTGTTTGACGCCAGGTCCGAATCTGGAGGCGGAAGCTCCCCAAACACAATGAGGGCATCGTCGGTGTCATCCACTGACCATCCAAGCCTGCGCCAGATTCTCACAAACTGCTCCAGACGCTGCAGCTCGTACGTGCCGGCGTCCTCTCCATTCTTCCCGCAAAGACGAAACCCTTCCAGCTGCGTTGCAATATTACCGCTCGCCTTGCGCGCCGTGCTGCTCTGTGACGCCACGGAGTTGACGAGGCAGTTGCACATGAAGTCAGTCTTGAGGATCCTAAATAGGCTCGTCAGCGACTTGCCCTCCATTCTAGGTAGCAGTTGGATATTGATAAAAGTAAGTCCGACCTGGTCATCAGGCGCTACAGGCTCCGGTTACCGTTCTACAGAATGTCAAACTCCCCGTCACCCGCGTCGGCATCTTTATCTTCGTATACCCAGTAATGCCAGGTGGGAAGAAGGCCACACAACTTTCCATATTCGTCGACTTGCAGCAATGGGTTGCCCGTTTCGATTGTCGCCGGCTGAAGATCGAAATAAGACTCCATGGTCAGGCTCAAGAAGTCTGCGTGGCTCATGCCCAGTGTTTGAGACGCGCTTGCTCGGGCAATAACCACCCTGTTGGAGCCATTTGACTTTGCGAAAGGCTGAAACACAGAGGCCATCTCGGGAAGGTTGGTCTTCGAAGCAGCAACATATCTTTCCAGGCTATCTTGAGAATGGTCATAGAGAAAGACAGATGGGGGTGCCACCTTGTAGACAATAAGGCTGCCATACAGAGCGCAGTCGACATTGGCTGCGTCAGACAGCAATGCTGCTTTGTCTGCCGATAAGGAGGACTCAATAGACCCTAAAGGGTAATATGCTGCATCGTAGTCACTACTATCCTGGGTATCTTTCTCGACGTCGTCTGCATTGTGAGCTGGGGTTCTCATGCCGCTCTTCTCGAGCTTGTTATTATTGGTCTGCAAACAGCGCAGCGCAGACTCGAGAACCTCGTTCATAAGATCGATATAGGGCACCACCTCGTTCGTGTTACGGCACGAGACAAGTAAGTCTCCAACATCAGGCCGTCGGTTTAAGAGCTTCTTTAAGATCGAACCCTGGGAAACGCTCCCTGTGTTGAATCCTGAGCCATCGAATGGTGGCAAGGGGATAATCACATTGGCATTAGCAGGCTGATTCTCGAGGAGTAGCAGAAGGTCCACAAAGTAGGCTGCCGGACTGGTGACGGAGCAACAGTCCTCGCAGCCCACCTGATCAAGGTCGCCGGACTAGCTCGACGGATTTTTGCCAGACCTGATGGCAGTCGATTGATCGTTTCCGTCTTTCGGAGAATTTCCACCAGGGATTGCTAATGCTGCAGGTTGAGGGACTGAGGACGTTTCCAACAACGCAACAAAGACTTGTTCGGACCGGGCCTGAACCCTCTTCGCCTCGTTGTGCATTCTGCGCGCGCGGCTTTGATCAAGCTATGGGTGGTCAGCATCCGCGCAAAGACTGCCGACGGCGTGTAAGCTACCTGCTCAAAGCCGGTGAACACAAGGGCGACTAGGATGGGGAGGTCTTCTGCCTCTGTGATGTTGCTGAGGTGCTGTAGCGCCGACAGAAACCGCAGGATGGCGTTTTTCCGATCAGAATCCAGGAAACTGTCCAAGTCCTTGATGGCTGGATGATCTGAAGGCACGGGATCCTCGAGGAGGTTCCAATCCGACCCTAGCTGCTGCAATACGGCTCGAATGTCGGTCTATAGAGACTTTGACATGGTAAATGCTAAGCACTGTTCTTCTGTAATCTATCCAAACAGTAGAGACGGCACTCCAATATCTAGTTGCGCGCGGAATTTTACGATGCTTCGAAGTTCTGCGATATGGACGACGTAGTTAAGGTCGCATCTGGCTGGGCACTTAGCTGGTTCATCTGAACATTCTCGGCGGTGACTCAATGACGCCTATTATCCAGTAGTACAATATTAGATGAATCAACATGAAGGCGTCACGGTTTAGCACACGTCGCAAGTTGACGAGCAGTGTCAAGATAAGACTGGCCAAGCTTCTATTTGCTGAGAACACTTATATCCGTGTTCACAACCCAGAATCGCCCCCCACTCCTTCCACGCCTCGCCGAGCATCTATGCCCATCACAGGTCCTATGTCCTCGAGATCCAGGTTCTGTTGATGTCGGGACAGGTGCCTTTAGGCAAACTGAAAAAAAGGCCGTCGACCGTCAATTTCCATCTTCCTTTCCGTTATCCTGATCAGTCTTGTGCTCCGCATAGCAGAAGTCCAACATAGCGGCGGGCTTCGATAAGTTAATGGTGGACAGGAACGCGGTCTGTGGAATTACCGCATCGTGTGCAACGAAACCATTTGAAGAAACGTGTACGACTCCTTCACCGGCGCCCGGGTGCAGAAGACCGTGCAGATGCAGATGGATTGTAGTGCCAGCGGAGCCAACCTGCAAGACCGATTTGTTCTCGTCAAGATTATTGCCATTTCTCAACAAATCCTTGAGAGAGGCTATCAACTCGAACTCGTCGTTGACCACTGCATTCTGGAAAAGCTCCTTCGTTGTGTCCTTGTCGTGAGCGAGGGCTAGGAGCACGTGGTACTCTCCCTTCCTCCCGTCGAGGATGTCGTGGAGGTCGATTCCGATGAGGAATAAAAGGAGACCCTTGCTAGACAACGTATCCAGGTAGGTGTTGTTTTTGAATACGAGCTGCTGGATCTTCAACCAGTCTTCGCCTTTGTTGCTGACAGTTGAGGTCGCCATTGTTGTTGGTGTAAAGGGTTGCTGGCAATTGAGGTGCTGGTGCCGGGAACCGCTCGTCGATCCTATAACTTCCCACGCCCACGACTCACAGAGGCTCCATCTCCCCTTCCCTCCCGAACCGCCGCCTATTAACTCGAAACGAAGTTGACAAAAGCGACTTGACGCTTGATCCGCTCCTTCGAGCGTAATCTAGCCTCTGAGTTCCCATCCTAAAATCCGCCAGAAAGAAAGACGCATTTGGCGCTTCGTGGTAACAACAAGAGGGGTAGTGGTCTTCGCCAGATGCCAGATTTGAAGTCTCTCGCTCCTCAGCACCACCAAACGTGTCCAAACAGAACGGTTCGTCTGCGGCGATACTGGCTGGAAAAAAAGACGTATCGTGATCCTTGCGGTTGTGGGCAAAGCCCCACCTCGTTGTTAGTCACAAACGCCCTGAACATGTGGAGATGCTACTTTGAATCGCCGTTCTAGACCGATTATGGCCGCGCCAACTCCAAGGTCTGGAATTAACAGTATGTACCTGCAAGACGAGCTGCTCCACAAGTAGATGTTGGTGTACAATAGCGAGACGTAATATTTCTTCCCTTCTAACTTTTTCTTCGCAGTTCGCCGCCTGGAGGCGCACCTTGTTGACTGCCGTATGACTCTCACAGGGGAATATTCGAGGGCCAGGATGGTCTGGGCTAGCGAGACGGAATTCCCCGACTCCAGATCCGCATCAGGGTTCGCTATACGCCTTGCGCCGACGTAACACAGGTCATAATAATATTTCGACTTTCGACCTTCGACCTCAGCTCAGCTACCCACACTGTTACTGATGTATTACAGGTTATAAGAATCTTTCGAGTTTCGAATTTCAAGTTTCATGTTTCGAGTTTCGAGTTTCGAGTTTCGACCTCAGCTACCCACACTCTTACTGACATAATACAGGTCGTAAGAATCTTTCGACCTAGGCCTTAATTGAAGGCAGTATCAGCTCGTAATAGCAACAGCAAGTGCAACTATTATTTCGACTCATACTAACTGCTTATAATATCCTAAGTTAGCGACTGCAGCGCATACTAAGGATGAGTCCTACACTATTATCGCGGCTGCTTCTCGCTTTGACCCCATCGCCCTCCCCACGCTACCTTCTAACCACCTTTGCTATTGAGGATGTGCTAACAACAGCGATGGGATCGGCATCCGTCAAGAGACTCCTGCCTCACGCCGCATCAGGCGCTTTTGCTGAGAAGTCTACGGGCGGATCAAAATGATGGTTATCAACAGGCTACGAGTGGAGAGATGAGACGCTGAGACAGCCTGCGACGGCACCTGTGGTGTAGGGCAGAAAAGCCTCCACAGTGGTTTGATAAAGTCTCACTTGCCGTAAGCTTTCACCGTGTAAGCTATCCTAAGCCCCTTGAGAGCTCCTTGCTCACTACACATTCGCAGAATAAGCTTCTGGGAAAGTTCTCAGCAACGCTCGGAGACGTAAGACGACGGTCTTGAGCTTGTGTATATTAACTTTGACGACAGTGCTGCGCTGATTGAAACTATACAGCACCATCTAAATGTAACGTAAGACCTACTTTTCCGACAACTTCAGCTCTTTGTAACAGGTACTATCTAATATCTCCGGTCGGCATATATACCTTTCAGACTATGGTCGTTGGCGACGTTACGTCTTCTGTGTTCTCAGTATAGACCGTCTGTCCGCTAGGGAAGAAGAGTTATATAAGCTTACCGATCTAATCTTGCCCACCCTCAAAGAGCAATGCGTCCACACCTGTTGCCGTTGGTGATGTATGCTTACGTTCGGTGTCTTCAGTGTCGAAGACCTATCTGTCAAAGTGGAAAGCTTCAACAAGATGATTAAGTCAGCAGGGGCAATCGTTGTGCCTGAGGCCTTGGACACGGATGGTTTGGACTTGAGGGACATGTCCAATCTCTTCTAGCTGCGAGGCTCGCTTCATTGAAGCCACGGGGGCTGGCACGTCTGCCGCGCGATTATACGATGGGCGCACTCTGATACCTGAGAATGATAGCGGACCGCGATAGCCTGCTGATGCTCGGCAGCCACCAGGAAGGGATTTCGTAACTGTCACATTATAAACTTGGAAATGAACTAGGGAGGCAGTCAGGCAATTCCCCTTGCGCCTCTTCTCGTAACTCAGCAGCCGGGGCTTCACATGTGCACTCTGGGCCGGTTGAGACGTATTAGAAGGTCGTCAATCACCACCGCCATCATCTTGACCTCACCTCACATACTTCCTTATCTATTCGCCCCGCAAATCCTTTCAAAGCCAACGATTCATGCCGCAGAAACTGCTAACCGAGCTCATTCACGATATATTCGATGCTTGTGGTGACCGCCAAACGCCGGTCAACCTCTCGCGGTGCTCTCGGAAGTTTTGGGATGTATTAACACCACGAATCTACCGGCATAACGTTTATCTAGGAGACTTCTCTGCTGCTCGATGGGCAGTTCCCCACTGTAGCAAACAAGATCTGGCGCTACGTATCATCGAGGCATCGGTATGCGCAGGGATGGACGTATGGACCTCCTAATTCGACATCACAACAAACGCCATCTTCACTCGACAGTACATTAAGAGATTACCATGAAGGCTGCGCACATCAACTCTCAGGCTGTCACTGTGTGCTTGTCGAACGGAGGAAGGAAATTGCTGTTTCTCTCCTGAACACACGAAGTGGCGCAGCATCCTACCGGAGACGGCTGCTTGCTTCGGACGAAATATCTAAAAAGACTGGTAAAAGATAAGTTGGCCACGAACAATCGATTGACACCCTGCATATCGCCTCAGCCACCGTTCTTAACGTCGTTATCAAGCGGATACTCAAAGAAACGTCAGCAGCTGTGGAGGTGACAGACGCGCGTGGCCGGACTCCCCTGTGCTACGCGATAAGGTGTCCGCTTACAGCTGTTTCAACCATTCGATTACTTCTCCGGCATCAAGAAAACGCCCACGATTAAATTATTTTCGACGGTCGCGAGGTATCTTGTCTGGAATACTGTTGCGAGAAGGGTCTGTTTAGTTTCGCTGTGTATCTCCTTGAACATAGGGCTAGAGGCGACTTGCAACATCTCTTCCGGTTGACTCTCTTGGCTTCGTCAACGATGCTTCTGCAATGGGCTGGCAGGAAGAGAGCGACGCTGATTGAGGGACTGATCCAACGAGGTGCCACTCCGAACGGCTTGGTGCGGGCATCCAGGATTGGCAAACAGCCACTTCTCTGGAACCTGGCGTTGGCGTCGCACTCCGCAACAAAACGTCTCCTCGCCTTACCAGGCGTAGATGTCAATGTCCGGGACTCTTCCAGTTGGACGCCCCTGAGTTGATTATTGTTGCAGAAACATCCAAATTGCAAGACGGTTGCGTTGCTGCTGAAGCGCGGGGCGAAATTACAGCCATACTCATTTGACAGCATCTTCATGGCAAACAGTCCGAACTGCCACATCGCTATCGGGCATCTACATCACGGGTATGGTGGTATGTTTCATTCATATCTTGCAAAGACACATCAGTTTACGGTTTGCCTAACGACTCTGACTGTGTTTTCCTGCCTCAAAGTTTCGACTTTGGCGCCTGCTCTGCTAACATGTTATCTCTACCAGCGGCAAACGCTGACAAGGCCTTGATGAACGGGCTCATACATGTCTCGTCGACCAACGGAGCCGTGATATATGCTTTCGCATTTGCTCTGTCCACCAACAAGGGCAAAAGGGGTAGAAGGTTGCCATATGCCCGTTTCTCATTGTCCCAAAACATAGACCGGATGCCGTAGTCGTGCTCGACAAACCAGCTGGAATCTTCCTGGATGCAGGACGCCTCAAACAAGTCGAGCGCTTCGGCAATAACGTTGCCTTGCGCTTTTGCTGCCCCGTATGCCATGCGCTGTCCGATGGACTCCACAATGGCTCTACACCGGGGGAGAACGCCATCGTTGTAAGATGCGCCCTTGATGCCACCGGCCAGATTCGATGTTAGGGCCAGTTGGCTCACGGCCTCCGCGAGTATTCCGTTCTTGTACAGCGCAAGAGGTCTTTTCGGCTCGATCGCATGAACAAAAAAAATCTGTTCATCAGGTTCTCGAAAGCTAGACCTGTCGGTTGTCAGTATCGAAGCGAAAGTTTGTGCTGAACCAGAATCTACGGATGCTGATGACCAGAGTATCGCCTTCGGCCACGGTGTTTCCTTGGAAGGTCGACGCGATTTCGCTTATCTAGTTATGCGGTTCCAATCCTTGCCAGCCGCATCGCTCCGCCAGCTCGGAAAGCAAACGAGACGACCGGACCACCACAACCTTGAAGGCAGTGGCGATCCTTCTGCGGACGTCGGCGCTATGATTCGGGTTCATGAATTCGCCAACCCTCCACTTCGCGTAGGCATGCAAAACTTCTCCGTACGCTAGTGATTTCAAGCTTGGTTGCTGTTGCGTGCTGAACTGCCTGATGGGCAGCCTTTTCGCGTCTCCGACCAGATGTCGCTGGCTATACGTGGCAGCGATACAGCCTGTAACTCTGATGGCAGACACACCCATGATGGAGAGAGAGCGTGCCGACGGACACCCTCCAGATATGGGCAAGGAAACCCTCTCGCTGGTTGTCGACTCGGGACGGCGATCCGAGAAGCGCTTCGGGTCGAAGGCGCACGTTCTGGAACGTCGTGATGGAGTGGTCCAGCGGTTTGGTCCCAGGTCTGACAGGGACCACGCGCGACACAACACCGTCGCATATGCCTCCGGCGTCATTGATCCGCACGACGAAAGGGTTAACCTGTCGGTCATCGCCGCCCACGACCAGCCTAGCGAAGACAACAGCAACGCAGGCCATGCCAGCTAACGGCGAAATAGGAGGCATTGCTTTAGTGGCGCCCATAGTCAGCGTGTTCAGGACGAAGGACCCTTCTGTCTCCATCGTCGCGATGGACTCCAGATTTCGCGCAGCGAGGCCATGGTCAACCTCTGTTGACATGAACTCTCTACAGGCGCTGAAA